TATTAAGTATCATTGAAATCATAAGCAAATCAATGTTACACCACTACTGAAAACTCGAAAGCCCTGGACGCTTGTTTCGCCCTAATATGGGACCCGTCAGAACTGCTTATACCATAGGGAATCGAACCCAGGAACTCCCGTCTCGAGAGCAAATGCTTGACCGCCAGAGCCAGAGTCGAACGATGTTAATGCCTAACTTCATACACTGCACAATATCGAGGGACCACATTCCATTATCTTCAGTGGGTAACTGCCTCACACCCAACTGGGTTGAAGTTCTAGTGAAAAGTTGCGATTAATGGAGTTCAACTGTGTTGGGTGTGAGAAAGTTATCCACTTCATGTAACAGTTGAAGGGTTGTGCAGGTTCATAGATTGGCTGGAGTTAGATATTCGAATCGTTGGATTCCATCTCAGTGATCTGGTAATCAAGCGTTTGTGCTTGGGACAGAATGTTCTGGGCTCGATTCCCTGTGACATGAGCAGTACTAGGATGAAACGTTTGTCTAATGTTTTCAGGTTTTCAATGGTGGTCTGACACTGATAGGTTCATGATCTAAATGAAACTCCACAATCTTTACAACTATATACTGGTAAATACTAAATAATTCATTAGAATTATTGAAGATTGAAAAGCTTACATTGGTATATGTATTTCAATGAACAAATTTGTCAATCTTCTGAAATTTACGTTTTTTAACTTCAATAACAGTGAATAATGACTAATTTTCAACAGTATTTAATGCATCATCGACAATAAATGGTTAAGTATATACATAATGGACTAATGATTGCATTACTATACTTTGTGTATTACATTTCAGAATTTAAAACGGATTGATGTAAATTTCAGTAGGATGTTAAACTTAGTCACATTAAAATTCACTTGGTATTGTTTGCTTGTATCTTCTCATTGTTGTTTAGGACTGCAATTTATCATCCTTTTATTGGCATATGTACATCCTGTATGGATCGCCTCAATACTACCTTCAATCACATGCATTATAAGCAGAGACGGATGGTGACTAGCAGTGGAATACAGGAAGAGCGTTATGTCCTATTTTGCTTCCCAGAGTTGATGATCACTCTGGGAATTGAAAACAGTCCCGTTCGTTGATCATTTGCAGTCCTAAACATCATTAGAAAGATTCGAGCAAACATTACCTTATGCATTTAAATTTCATCCCATTGCACAAACTGGTGGCTATCAGGACTCAGATGCTTAGTAGATAACGCGATGGTATTTGAAGAGAAAGGTAGTGGGTTCGAGTTTCAGAGTGAACCATTACTCTAGGATGCAGGTACATCCAGCCAACGTGTCCTAGATGAGGTGAAACACTCGTCCTGGATTTCACTGCTAGCCACCATCCGTCTTTGCTTACTCACATTTTATTAGTGTTAAGCATAAAAAAAGCAATGTGTTTCGATGGAATTCTTTTTTTTCCAACTTTGAGTTAAAAGCTTTCAGATTTGTTAATTAACCTGTGATCGCTGAATGGTTACGTCATTAAGATATTGATGAAAATTAAACGAATCATTGTAACTAGATTCTTGATGGATATTTGTTAGCTGTAATAAAAATCATTTTCATTTATCTGTTTTCATTAACTACAATAATGTTAATAATTATTTCTATCCTCCATACTATAAGATGAAGTAGGAAATAAGGTTCATCATTGGTTAACTTAATTTCAATAAAACTTCCACTAACGAACTTACGTTAAGACCAAGTGAAATTACAAAAAATTATTACTTCTCTATTAATTTGTCATTATGTGGAGTTTGGATTTTTATTCAGTTTGATTTTTGTATTAAAACTACGAATTTCCAAAAAATAAAACCGTTATTCAACATAATAGTGAATATTTTAATAGATGGATTCATAAGTCAATTGAATATACAACACCATGGAAAACTGAAAACACTGAACGGCCGTTTCGTCCTAAAACTGACTCGAACCCAAGAGCTTCAATCTCATGCACGAACTCTCAACCTCCAGATCACTGAGCCAGACAGTATCCAACAGTGTTAATGTATAACTTCAACTAAACTACAAAATTGTATGACACATCTACCATTGTTTTCAGTGAGTTAATATCTCACAACAGAAGTGGTTGAACTCCACTGGTCAGTGCTTCTCACTAGAATTGCACTAAATACCTGTTGAAGCCAGTCACTAATGAGCATATGATGATTATTGTCAGAAACAGGGGTTTTTCGTGGATATCACTGTTGAGTTCATGAGTCAATTGAAGCTAAACCACCATGGAAAACATGGTAAGAACATTACATTATATAGAAGTGGCTTATTGATTTATATAATGCTCAAAAATCAATGTCCATTTTTCATAGTTTTCCACTCTGTGAACTAAATCGTATAACTACGAAGATTCTAGTTTTGTCCTGTACAGTTTTTTGACGATTACTTCCAATTTAAAGTAAAACTAGCAATGAAAATAATTTTTTTCATCTTTGTTCCAGACTGTTTAAGATTAAAAATCAATAATCCAATCAATGGAGTTCAACTAAACTGATTCTGGAATAAATTTAGCTCATATTACTGACAGTTATATGATGTCACAAATCGACTAAAATTAAAAGTAAAGAATATTGAATAATAACACATTAATTTACATGCAACAATATTCTAAAAGTATGGGACTTCTCAGCAGTACGCATTCACGATCCCGCGATACTGATAGGTTTTGGGTTCGAACCTCGCGGAGTGCGGGATCGTGGGTACGCACTGCTGAGGAATCCCATACTAGGATAAAACGGCCATCCAGTGCTTCCAGATTTTCCATGGTGGTCTAGCTTCAATTGACTCATGATTTCAATCAGTGACAATTCAATTTAACAATATCAATTCAATTATCATATAAAGTAATAATCTCTATTAGTTACTTATTAAAAAAAAATTAATTGACCAAGAAAACAAAATATAATCAATGACTAATTTCTAATAAATTACATTAATAATTCATTTCATTAACTAAAGTCTAAAGAAAAAAATCTCATTCACTTTCTAAGTATAAACATTACTCCTAGTAGATAATAATTACATATAGATATATTACTTGATATACATATTAGTATTATTATTATTATTAATTGGAAAAATTGTGTATGATAGTTCACTCTGGGTTTGTTTTTATCTCCCTAAAAGAAAAGAATCATACTTTATACTTTATGTATGAATATACCTATGTATGTTTGTTTAAAGTTCATTCATTATGATAGTACTGGTTACCAAATAATAATAATAATAATAATAATAATAATAATAATGATAATAGTAGCAATAATAATAATAGTAATAATAGTATTGTCAGTACATGTAGGCCTACGCTTGAACATTTCACCAGATGTTAAATCTATTTACTGTTAGAAATTAAAAGAAATATCTAAATATAATTGTATATATCAATAGAAGAGAAAAAAAGGAAGGAAAAATAAGCTTATCGTAAATAACATCGAAATTGTTTACAATCTTGCATCGTTTACACTATGAAAATTAATGAAATTACAGTTACCACCTGCTTATTCATCATCAACATGTTTATCGTCTTCATCACTATTGTCGTCATCAGCTTTATATTGATTAAAGTCATAATTGACAAACTAGTGGATAAAATATGTTTGTTTACTTATTCCCTTTCTTGAGGAAATAGGTTTGATAATGATGGTGGTGTTGGTGATGATGATGGTGGTGGTGGGGTGGGGAAGTAATTACATCTGTTCATCACAATTCTCCTGTAAACTAACCAATATTGTTTAGATATGTTACGTTGATATTTTTCTCTCTTTTTTGCATCCAAGCTATAAATGTGATGAAGGTTTAGTCAACAAGTGAACATCTGTACATAGAAAGTATATATAATTTATAAATAGATAGTGTTAGCCTGGCAAATTATGTTTCTGTTTAATATACTACTTAGATTGAAATCGTTAGTAGACTAGTTACAAAGTTTATTTATTTTAATTTTAATTAGGATAAAAATGAGTGTTAGTAATTTTAGATGGCAGTTTTTGTGAAAATGATGATAGGTGATATGTTTTAATAGGTTCATACAGTTAGCTAACAAATCTAGATTTTGAGTGATTCCGAAGTTGTCTTTGATTTATGATAAAAATTATCTATAGAAAATTTTTTCACAACTTCCTGGCAGTTTATGGTGTATCTTCATTAATTTCATTGTTTAAATAACATATTTTATTTATCTTAAACAAACAGGTTAGCTAAATATCCTAAACTGACGAAAGTACGAATGAGAACCAGAATTATTTTCAATAATACTTACTCGTGTTATCTCTCGTGGAGGAGCATAAGCCACCCACTAGCATTTTCCATCGAACACTGTCCTGAGCAATTGTTTCCAGTTGCTACTCATTCTTTTGATGTCTGCTTCCGATACTCGGTTCAGTGTGTTCTTTGATCTTCCTATTTTCTGTTTCCTTTCAGGATTCTGAGTAATCGCTTGCCTCGTGATACAGTTTGGTGATTTCCGTAACGTGTGTCTATCCACCTTCATTGTCTTCTCTTAATTTCTTGTTCAAATCGAAGTTGATTTGTTCTCTTCCACAGTAGGTGGTTGCTAAAGGTACCAGAGTAATAATAATCACTAAAATTTATAACACGTTGGATGGGATCATTACTGAATTATTGGTTCAATAAAATGACCACTTAAAGGCCTCCCTGAGCAAATAAGCTAAAATCAAGAACGTTTTCGAAGGTAACCTTTTTCCATTGGATAGAAGTTTACTATATCGCTAGTTAGGTGCTTTCACAGAATATCAGATATTTAAAAAAACACGGAGAAGTACTATTGATACTTATAAATTAAATTAAAGAATGTTCGCGCCGTTTTAATAACTAAACTGTGTAATATTAGCGATAATTCATCTAAACAGTAAACAGAAAATTTAATGTTAGAATCCTCCAGATGTATAACTATTTATTGCTTCAAGCTCCGATTTCTTACCAAATTAAATCGATTCGTGATGAATGTTAAACCAATTTCTAGTAAGTATTGTGGTAAATTAGTGTTTCACTAATTCTATTAGTAATATATATATATATATATATATATATATATATATATATATATATATGAGCTAAAAATTTTTAAAACAGTATTCTGTATACAACAACGATTCAAAATTATTTAAACAATCCTTGAAAACAATGAGGTAATGAGTAGATATTTCGTACCAGTATGGGACTCCTCAACAATGAGTATCCATGACTCTACCAGTGGTCAGAGATTAATCATTCAGGTTTCAAAGTGAGCCCACAACATTTAAATCTCTGATGTGATATCCAATGGTATACATGCCTAACTTCAATTCATTCTCAATATTACCCAACCACTTATTTTCTTAGGTATACCTGACATGGTAGAACTCCCACTGGTGATGACTACTCAGTATAACTTTGAGAAACAAATTTCGAAACTAGTCACTAATTCACACATGATGATTATTAATATAAGAAATTCTGTAAATCATAAACATTAAATTTCAAACGTTTAATTGATGTTGTGAGATATTTTGGGGGGAGAGGGGAGGGGAGGGGGGGGAAACATGAGTTTATGGAAAAGTTTTTCTTTCTTCAGTGGTTTGAAAAATAAATACTAAGCATTGAAAAAAATTTTTTTTAATCTCCATATTAAATTTAATACCATGTTACAATCTTATATTTTTTTTAACTGGATAAACTATCGAAAACTATAATACCACGAATAACACAAATGATTAACAATAATTGAAGATTGATTTACCATTGAATGTTACTATAAACCATGTGATTTACATTTAAGTTACTTTGATATAAAAAGAAAATTAAGTAATTGCGTGTTTAGTTATTAATTTTTTCTGTTTCTCAATTTACTTGAATAAATTTTCTAGATTCTTATTTATGTGTCTTGAAAATTTTATCAAATTAAAAAAAAAGAACTTGATTGTAATCAAGCACACCAACTGAATAGAATGTAAATATGTTAGTGATGATGATGATGATGATGATGATGATGATGATGATGATGATGATGATGATGATGATGATGATGATGATGATGATGATGATGATGATGATGATGATGATGATGATGATGATGATGATGATGATGATGATGATGATGATGATGATGATGATGATGATGATGATGATGATGATGATGATGATGATGATGATGATGATGATGATGATGATGATGATGATGATGATGATGATGATGATGATGAGGATGATGATGATGATGATGATGATGATGATGATGATGATGATGATGATGATGATGATGATGATGATGATGATGATGATGATGATGATGATGATGATGATGATGATGATGATGATGATGATGATGATGATGATGATGATGATGATGATGATGATGATGATGATGATGATGATGATGATGATGATGATGATGATGATGATGATGATGATGATGATGATGATGATGATGATGATGATGATGATGATGATGATGATGATGATGATGATGATGATGATGATGATGATGATGATGATGATGATGATGATGATGATGATGATGATGATGATGATGATGATGATGATGATGATGATGATGATGATGATGATGATGATGATGATGATGATGATGATGATGATGATGATGATGATGATGATGATGATGATGATGATGATGATGATGATGATGATGATGATGATGATGATGATGATGATGATGATGATGATGATGATGATGATGATGATGATGATGATGATGATGATGATGATGATGATGATGATGATGATGATGATGATGATGATGATGATGATGATGATGATGATGATGATGATGATGATGATGATGATGATGATGATGATGATGATGATGATGATGATGATGATGATGATGATGATGATGATGATGATGATGATGATGATGATGATGATGATGATGATGATGATGATGATGATGATGATGATGATGATGATGATGATGATGATGATGAATTAAGTTTAATCCCAAAGTAAATTTACTCCTAACGACTTGTATATATCAGTCATTTATATTTGGTTGTATAATGCATATCATATTATAACAAAACTCAAAATAAATACCATCATAAATTTCAAGAATTTCAGTTTTACTTAGAATATGACTGTTAGTGAACAATTAATTTGAATTTTTATTTTTAATAATTCTCTATATTTGATGTTATTACTTAAAGGTGAATTTATGTTTCGTTATCATTAAAAACAAGAACGTGAATGTTTATAATTTCATCGTATGCGATAACATATATACACTGTTCAGTTAATATAAAGCATTGGCATTGAAATGTTATAACTTAACATTAATTCTCATGATAGTTTTATAATTATAATTAATTTAATGGTTGAATTCATGAGTCGATTTAAGCTGGATCACCATAGAAAACCTAGAAGAACTGAATGGCCGTTACATCCTCTCATGGGACTTTTCAGTAGTGTACATTCATGATCCTTCACCAAAATGGACTCAAACTTATGGACTTCAGTCTCATACATGAACGCTTAACTGGCATCCAACAATACTGTTATCTAACATCAATTAATCCCAAATATTGAACGATGGTTCATCATTGTTTTCATTGAATAACTGCCTCACAACATACATGATATGACTCCACTGATCAGTACTTCTCACTAGAACTGCCGGAAATATCTGTTGAAGCCAACCACTAGTGAGCATATAATGATTATGGTTAGAATGAAAGTTTGTGGAAATTGTAATAATTTAATGGTTTACTTCATTAATTATTATTTTTTTTTCTAAAACATCAACATAATTACTATTTTTTTTTGAAAATGATAAAATAGTTCCGGCTATAATAACGACTACTACCTACAAGAGATTACTGTAAATAAAATAAAATTAATTATTTATATTAATTTTTTTTATAAAAAAAAATAAAAAATAAACAAACATTAATTTACACATCAATGAATATACAGAGAGGGTGGGGTGGGGAAAGGGAAACAATTTTGACAGTATAATCAATAATTTAAGGAAATTAATATAAAAAATAATTTTAATAAACAAAACAAAAAACATTATCATTTTTTTTCTGTTTGATGAAAGAGTAAAGAAACAAACAAAATGTCATTCCTTTTATTTTAATCGTTTGTTTGTTTGTTTGTTTCTTTCTTCTTCTTCTTCTTCTTCTATTCATAGATTATTTTCTATTATAAATAATCATAGAAATAATTTTAAAAAAAAGAAAATTATAATGGAGAGAAATGTTGAATAAATAAATAAATAAATGAAAAGAATCAGAATAAAAATGATTTGAATTCTATCATGAAAATTCATTTTGTTTGTTGTGTATAGTTTGTTATTGTATAATTGTTGTTGACAGATGTCGAATTCATTTTTGTCACCTGAAATATGCATGAATCATAGTAATAATAATAATAATAATCATAATAACAAAGGAGGATAGTGTTAAAGTAGAAGAGAGTGAGATGATAAATAAAAAGAGAGAGTAGTTTAATGAGTCATTTCTTTAACATCCCAAAATATGAATTGAATCCAGTGTATATATGTATGTGTGTATTCAATGTACATTTGGAAACGTTAACCAAATAATTAATCAGCTATATTATATTACTATATATTTTATTGAAGAGGGTTTTTGGACTTTCTATATTTCATGGTTAATGTCATGAACTGATTTTAGTTCAACAACCATTGAAAAACAGGCAGCATTAAGTAATTGTTCCATTTTAGTAAGTAAAAGCTCAACAATACGTATCCATGAGAGCGCTACTAGTTGTTGAAACTATGATATTTGTTGCTGGATGTGAATACTTAACTTCTAAATCACTAAGCCAGCATCAGCTGCTATATATATATATATATATATATATATATATATATATATATATTCTTTTCACAAATTTCGTCAATGGTCTACATATTTCTATTAATATTGTTTGTTTACTGAAGGATGCATATGATTATTTTGATTGAATTAGTGGATTTCATATCGATTATAGTTTCTATATTTGTACAATATATCATTAGCAGTATTGAAAGGTCATTTAAGTAGAAGAAGATAAGAATACTGAAATGGAAAGTTTTGATCGATTCTAACAAAATGACTAAATCTATCATAAAAACAAATGAGAGAGATGTTTGTTTTCAAGCTTTTTTTGATAATGATAATAATAAGTGTAAATTATGAATGAAGAACGTAGAAATAAACATTATATTTAAAAAGATAGCTACTTAGGATCCAGGAAATCTCAGTAAAATATTTTCCAGCTTGAAGAAATTAGTCATCAGACTAAATTAACGAATACACGGATAATAATGATTAAAATGTTAATAGTTCATTTCATGCAGTTGAAGAAACGTTTTTGCTTGAACTATGAAATAGTATGATTGAAAAGAGATATCATCGAATGAAGAATAGATGTAAGTAATTACAGTATAAAGATTAAGAACGGACAAGTGACTTCAACCTTTCGAAAATACATAAAACATGCTTGAAAATTTGATAGAACACTCAAAAAAAAGAGATAAGAATCAGAGTTTTTATAACATCGTCTACCTTCAGTTCCACTGGAACACAGACTTTCTGAAGTTTGTCTAAAAAATCTAACCATAAACTTTTCTTTTTGTTCTTCCTATCCCTTACCAAATAAGTACAAATTGGTTTTTAACACTTAACTACAATGTACATAAAAATATCTGTGAATTATGAATTACAATTAACAAGTCACAATATTCCAAAGGTAAAATGTCATGATTAAAATTATTCTAATGTCAATGTTATCAAATCGAATAACAAGTTGATTTGAAAAAAAAACATTTTTTTTCTGTCCATTAAAATTCTATAAAAAAAAATAATTTCCGTTCTTAGACATTTTTCATTCACTACTGAAATGTTTCAATAAATTGTCAACATAAATCACTAATAAGTAGTCTGGTTAAGAATCATTATTATTATTATTATTAAACAAAGTGAATACAATCTGATTTATTGTTGCTTGTCAGTAACTCCATGAATATTTCAGATTGTAATCAAGAAGTTGAATTTTTTTTCAATCATGCTTATCTCATTCACTTTGTATAAGTAGTCGGTATGGTTTAGAGTTTCAACTTAACAACAACAAAAAAATAAACGTGATATTCTAATCGAACTTTATAAACTTATACTTGATAAATAGGTTATTTATATTAGATACTAAATATCATCTGATATACAAAAGGTAACTTATTTTATCTATACTTATCAAATAGGGTTTAACACTAATATATATTTGACACATACAATAGTTTAATTATAAAAACTTATAGTTAGGTAAATCATATTGAGATATAAAAGTTATTAATGAATTAATCTTGAAATGGTAGAGAAGATTTATAGCTCAAAGTGAGTGATTTTTGAGTTCTACTATCAAATCATCCAGCTCAAAGGACAAACATTCAACAACAAAAAACGGGATGAATATCTTGTATTTCAAATTATCCCACTAAATTAATAAGAATTTCTATCGTTTTTTTGTTGGCAAGACCATTATATTACTTGAAATATTTACTTTCAATGATATATTAGTCAATTTCCTGGTTCGTGACAGTTAAATACAGATTTTTTTAAAATAAAAACCACAGGGTGTATCTTTATCCAAGCCTACCATTAAGTTTTGAAAGATATAAAAATAGGTAACAAATGAAAAATGTCATTCAATAATTCATTGTTAAAACACTTGATAACAATCTAATTTACTGTCAACAAGTTTCTCTACAGTAGGCATTTACAATTATTTTTGTTATTTTAAAAAAAAGTGAATTGGTTAAAAAACGTTTTATCAGTTGAGATCATGAGTCCATTGAAGTTAGACCACCTTGGGAAATCTTGAAGCATTGGGCGACTGTTTCGTCCTATTTTGGGACTCCTTACCAGTGCTCATCCATGATCTCGCCTCGCGAGATTCGAACCCAGGATCTATCGGTCTCACTCGCGAACGCCCAACATCCAAACCACTGAGCTGGTTGATATCCAACAGTGTTAATGTACAACTTCAGTAATATTCACAAAAATCCTCTTTCTAATAATAATCATATGCTCAATGGTGACTGACTTCAACAGGTATTTCCTGCAGTTCTAGTGAGAAGCACTGATCGGTGGAGTTCAAACACGTCTGTTGTGAGATATCAAATCACTGATGACAATGGTAGATGTGTCGCTCAATCTTGTGGATTAGTTGATATTAGACATTAACACCGTTGAATACCGGCCGGATCAATGGTTTGGAGGTTAAGCGTTCGTGTGCGTAATCAATAGTTCGTGAGTTCGAACCTCGAGTGGTGGGGTCTTGGATGCACACTGCTGAGAAGTCCCACAATAGAACGAAATGACCATCCAGTGTTACTGGGTTTTCCATGGTGTTCTATCTTCGATTGAATCATGATCTCAACTATTGAAATTACTATAATATACACTAAACCCCTTCTGATACTAAAAACATTTTGACTATCAATAGAGTTCACAACTCATGTTTCATCATGCTTTGATACTCGTCAATAACTGAATAATTCAAAACCTTGCAAATAATGATATAACTAGTTAGAGTGCTTTGAAAACAAATTGCACAAACGTGTTGCTACATCATCAATACTTATGAGATGTTATATCCTCTTCTTCAAATGATATAACTTGGTGATCAAAATGGAAATCTTTTGTTTTTTTCGGAAAACAAGAAAACTTTTGTGAATAATTTCATTTATTTAGAAAGTTATTTGAACATTCTAACACATGGATCATTTAATAGAAAAGTTATCTTTATTTCATTTTTGGAAAATCTGTTGAACAGATATAATTCAACAGATTAGTTTTAATGAGATTTCCAGATTTCTTTCATAAAAATGTTTATTTCATTTGTGATCATTGTATTCTTTATTCATTTTTCAACTTTGAGGATTCTATTGAAGGAAAAGAAGTTTATACTACTAAGTAAACTACTTAAAATAAAATTGATTTGAT